TATAGGTTTGTGTACCTTTAAGATACTCTGCAATTAATTCAGTTCGATATAGGTAACCTGCATGGAATTATTTTCCATAAACGGTAAAGTCGATTAGGTAATTAGTTAACATAATTTATGAAATTACCACACTCGGGTACGGTAATGTGATCCCAACTCAACTCATGTACAAATAATAACAAGCAAGACCCATTAAATGGGTGGAAATGGTTGTGGCATCTCAAGCGCTGTGGTAGTACCCAAAGAACTGTTATCGTTATTTGTTTCTTACAAAAACCTCCAAAAGCTTGTACCCGTCGAATCTGTTTGGCACGAGATTGGTAGCATGTCGGCATTGAATTCGAGGTGGCAATTGAAGAACCAGCAGATAAAACATTGATCCGAAGGAGAGAAGAGGGGAGGGAATGCATAGAAAGGGAACAATAGAAAGTCCCTCATTTTAATTTGGGCTCTAACAAAATGCTTTTTGGACATTTGGCAGACACGTAAAATAAAAGTTGTTCGTGTGCATCGGATGCTACGTACAATAACCAAAAGGCTATTCAGTTTTGATCCCCCGCAAAAGAATAATTTACATAGCACACAGTTACATTTGTATTCAAGAAAAGGCACAACATAGCATTGCCCCACATTCCACAAATGACTGCTAACAGTATTTGGTGCCTCTGTACTTCACTTTTCTCATCCATTCATCCCCCCCAAAAGAAAAGGGATATTATCCTCACAAAGCAGAATTGCATCCCCAGCTCCAACATGTTATTAACACGCTCATCTCTTTGCGCATGCATTGATCCCTTTTTTTAGGGAAAAAAAAGTCATCTCCAATATTATATGAAAAGAAGAGACCACAAACCCCTTATTTTCTCTCAACATTCCAACATACTCAACTATTATCTATTGCGATTAAAATTTAGTGTATGACACTACTTCTAAATTTATTAAGTTTTATAAATTTAAAATAAATATTTTTATTTAAAAGTGAAGACTTCAATTTTAATTTACCAAAGTAAATCGGACAATTTCCCTTAAAGCCAATTTATTTTTAGATAAAATCTAACATAGTATTTTGTTTCTTTGTGGTTTGTGGAGCACATCCCCTCCGTTTCCGTAGTTTTCGCAGTATATCTCTGGTCCAGCCATCGGACTAACATATTCTCACTGCTCGCATATCAATTGGTTCTCTTACCCATTTATATTTAACAAATTGTATTACAATTTTCTTAAGACATTAATTATGTCATAGAATCTATATATTAATCGCGCGTGTTTATAGATAACATTTCAATAAATGACAACAAAGATAAATATTATTAATATACTATTTTACTTTTTTTACTCACTTTTTTATTCTATAAAATCACATGAAATGAGTTCAGGTTAGAGAGTGAGCATACGTAATGTTTAGGGTTATCAGTGTGAGATTATTATATTAAAAAAGTTGGTACATAGACAGATAGAGAGAGGGAAATGTATCTAATAAAAAATTTAAAATGAACAGTCATATAAAAATAGTTAAGATTAAATGTTAAATACAGTTATATGATTAATTTTAAAAATTGTACAACTTCTTAAAAATATGATATAATTTTTATATTTTAACCATGATAATTAATAATAAAATCTAATAAAAATATTTCTCATTTTTATATAAAATAATGTCATTAGACACAATCTTTATTTATATAATTTTTATTTAATAAAAATTAAATTATAAATAGACATTATCTAGAAGTGTATATCAACAGAATAATATAACATACCAAATATAATTCTAATAGTTTAGAAAATTAAAATATATTAGTACATCAAATACTAATATTAATACCTCATATTAGTACAAATCCATGCATCCACACACATACAGTAAAATATAAATCTATATATCTAAATTATTAGGTAAAAGTTATATTAACTTAATCAACTCTAACATCTATTACTTTCTATGTTTTATTAAAAAAAAATACGGGGATCATCTTATGGTTTATAGTTGTAGAAATATGATTTATAATTGAAAAGATAATCTTATAAAACTTAAATAAAAGACACTCAAAATGAAGAATTTAATCAAACTGTGTTAGTTATAGGGATCATGTTGGTAATTGTGAAACATCTATTATGCTAAATTCGTGATCATGGTCATTCTTGCTTGGTGGTAGGCTAGTTTATTAGGTAGTTCTTCCTTTTTCTTCTTTGAGTTTGAGTATCATCATTCATCACTCTTAAATCACATGCCTCTGCACAATAGGGTTCACATAGTAGATTGTCTCCAATTGTCAGAGTTCTCTGCAATTTTTTGCTCAGAATACTGTTTGGAATTGGAATAATAGTACGTAGTAAAATTGTTAATTATGTAAGGTTGACCAAGACTTATCCTTTTATTATTTTTTAATGTGTTTTACTTTTTAAAAAATGTATTTTTTTAAATTACATGTATAATATACAGGTGAGAATGCATTTTAAACTGAATTTATTTTTGCTCCGTCTTAGGAGGGACTCTCTTGCGCTGGAGTCTTAAAGATAAATTATTTTTAATTTATGAAAAAAATGCCTCCCAAAATTAGTGAGTTTAAATATTTTTAATAGATTATTAATAATGAATTAATACATAAACATTTATATTTCACATTACTATGTAACATTTTTATCTCTAAAATATTACTTTTAACAATTTAAAATAATATAATAACTCCAAAAACTAATTTTATAAAATTTATGAGTTGAAACCTAAGTCATTTTAAAAAAATATCGTGTAACTCTCCTTTGAAAGCTAAAACAACAATAAATAATAGTTTTATATCCTAGAATGAATCAAGCAATGAGTTTTGAAATCTATCTTATAAAATAATTTTCCGTTTGGGCACAAAGTGAGTTAAATACGAGGATATTTTTTAAATTTTTTATCGCATGCAAAATAAATCAATTTAAACATTCAATATAGAAACATGTATGTATAATACAACAATCAATTTTGACAGATTCTTAACAAACCTATTAAATGTGGTCACGTTAAACAAGATATATTTTTTGGTAGAGAGTAAAATTTTTTTATATACGTATTAAGAAGAAAATTAATATGGAGATTACGTGTTTAAAAGTTTATCACAGTAAATATGATTTATTTTTTAAGTTTCTCCCAAATCCTTGATAATGATAACACTTTTCAATAAAGAAAGAGTTAATTTTCATCTACAATTTTTTTTTACACTATTAATTTTAGCAATACAACAAATATTTTTATGTAACTCAACTTATCCGCCACTTTTTATCTTTTTTAGCAAAGAAAGTTAAAAGAAGATAAAAAAAAAAAGAACAGAATAAAAAATTTATTAAAATACAATTATCAAATTCGACTTTAATTTTTTTTTTTAAATCTAAAACTTATTCCCATAAGATTATTTTTTTAATTAAAGAATGTAATATACCTGACAAAAGCACTAAAAGATTTTCCATCTCAGGAGCTGTGATGGGATAAGTAACGCTGTCTCCTGCACATCTTCTTATAGGAAACAATCCTTCGACTTCATACATAAATAACAAAAATTCAAATAAATACTAATAAAATAAATATAAATTCATATATATTTATTTAACTCTAAATTTGTATGTTTAATTGTTGTTTTAATTATTCTGAGTTATATATATATATACACGCGTAAATATCCTTATTTTAAATATTATTGTTCATAAAACATATTTTAAAGTAAAAAGTAAATACATATCGATATATAAAATTTTAGTTAAATTTTATTATAGTTAAATAAATTTTGTAAACATCTTTGTGCTCATTGTGCTTTTATTTTATGTATTTAATTATATTGAAATGAATTTTATTTACACAAACAATTGAATGAAAAATGAAAACTACAGATATAATAAACATATAGGATATTATATATTAAATACTGAAAATATAATAAATTTATTTTTTAATTATGAGAGAAAATATTAAAATATTTTTTTTTATTATTCTAGTTAACAATTCTTTTGTAAAAATTATTTTAAACTAGAAAAATTTAAATGGGTTGGAATTAAATCACAGTATGTGTCAAATTTAATAAAATGATAATTTTAACAAATTTTTTTATTAAAAGTAAATTTTATTACTATGACCATTCACTGTAATGTTCTTACAAAGTAGATCAAGTCTACAAATTTCATAAATTTAAGTATTAATTGATATTTCATTATCTCACTGTATCAATTATTTTTAAAAAAAATAAGTATTATTCAATTACATATTTATAAATGTTTAAATTATATAAAATTTTATACACACAATCTTCATAATAATATTACAAATACTAATTAAATTGATAAAAAACTATTAAATTTGTTATTTTACTAAATTCGAATATGATGTCATTGATTTTGACATAATTTAAATGCACATTTTTTAATATAATATATCTAAATTGATAAGTATAATAAACTGTAAATAAATTAAAATTAATATTATTTCTACATTTTTTATCATTTAAATAAAATTGTGTAACGTATGAGTATTATATCAAATACTTTCTTAAATATTAATGATGTAGGTTATTCAAGAAAGGAAGTAATTTTACACAAATAATAATAATAATAATAAGGTAGTTGTACCACCGACAAGATCCGCACATGTCGACCGTGGACAAATTTGTTGTTAAAATTTTCAATTTGTACATGCAAATACGTCAAGCATGGCCTTTTTTTTTTAATAGTTTATTCAAACTTTATCTATGAAAAATTCCAATGCGAGTTGAAGTTGTGATTGAAAATTAATGGGCACTCACTTTCAACCCGAGTGCACAAAAACAAGTTGTAATTGGTCCCCCCCTTCAAAGACAAAATTAGTCATAACAAAAATGTTGAAAGAGAATTTAGAGAAAAGTGAATGAGAAGGCAAAATCCTGCTAAATTTGTCTCATATCTTGAACAACAAATAATAACTAGAGAAGCATATTCGGCTAAGGCTTCATATGTAAAGAGTTTGGGAAGGAGGAAGGTGAGACCACGTTGGCAAGTAACGTTGCATGTATCAAGAGTGTGATTAATTGTCATTACTACATCAATTATAGGCATTAAAAGAATTACAAGTCCCAATAAATTAAACCAGGAACCACAAGCATTAAGCTAATAGGAAGAATACAAGTCAAAATCCCAGCAAGATCAATAATATAAACAAGACTTACAAAACTAACAACTCAACCACAAACCTCACCAGAACGCAAATATTAAATGATGACCCAGAATGTGCTCTTACTGAAAAATGGGGATCCATGCACATACAATCAACAGCCAAGTGACGAACAGCTTCAGCCTATTCCCTTTGAATAGTGAAGGAGCTGAAGAAACAACTTGGGGCCTGAAAGAAAACAATTGACATAAAACTTTAGAATCACTCACTTTTTCAAGTTAATGGTGATAGATGGAAGAAAAGGATTTTGAACATACTTCTGCAATTTACTTAGGGCACCGCAGAAAAGAGCATTGTCTGGAATGGGAAGCTCAGTCTTGTTAGTAGCCTCTGGGTTGACAACCCTGACATATGTTTCTTGACCAAGATACCATGAATCAAGGTTTTCTGTTCTGAGATTCCAAACTCCAACGTTGTCAAGGGAAACCAAAATGGCCGTCCATGCTCCAGGATAAACCTAAATGGAAGGCAAGGAGAAACAAACACGTGTGATTAAAACAATACTGAATGATAGAACCAGTTCAGTTTAAGGTATATCAGAAATACAAACTTTGGAAATGGAACTGATCACAGAAGCATTGACAAAGTCAACAGTTCAGGGATTTTAATATAATAAAGAACACAACCTATCCACATATTAATGGCACCATTCACAATACATTTTATTCTTCTAACCTATGACTAAACTGGTATGTCAGTCAGCTACATGATAAACAGGAGTTTATTAAGTTTATTGTCGCAGCAAAAGGTTTCAGCTTTTCAAAATGCCTTGAAACAAATACTTCACCAGGAACATGGTTGAGAACATAAGATGAACAGAACTGAACACTGAGGTTCTAGTTATAGTGATGCATTTGACAGCTCTGGAAAAAAAGAATGTTTCAATAGTTCGTTTTCTGGAGGAGCCACGTATATCTAAGACAATAATATACCTGTGTTGTTGTGCGAGCAATTCCATCCCACTTGTTATACGTGCCCCTGCTATTGTCAGACCAATCCCCATAATCCATCCTGCAGCCAATGAATCAAGTTTGTATTATTGGCTCAGGAAACATATCATATCACGTAAACTTGGAATGGCACAAAAGAGAAGGAATTTGTCACTACCCAACTACAAAAAATGCATATCCACTCATGTGATACGTATGCATCTTAGTATCATTGTTCTGCAGTATAATTTCCATAAATCCTCTATAAGTTCCATTAATCACCGATGTTTCTGCCCGAGGTGAGGCAGTAAGAGGCTTGGTTGGAAAATCAAGCTTGTATACTCCCTTTAATTTGAACTGGTCTGCAAGCCTGATTGGAGTGGGAGGATTGACAAAAGAGATCCCACTAAGTGTTGCCCTCCGCTTCCCATCAATTTTCTCAGGTGGCTTATTTTTTAATACATATATCTCAGTCACGTTGATTGAACCATATCTGAAAGACCCTTGTGGGTTAGGACGAGCACCACTTGCTGATACATTCCATCTACACAGTTAAGCACATAATTGCAAAAGTGAGTGATGAAATACTTTGAATTCTCAAATTTGATAATCTAATCTAAATATATCTTATTGGAATTATGATTTAATAATACATTGAAGTTTGATATTTTCAACACAATTAATATGCCCATGCACGTTGAAACATACTGAACATACATACCCTTCATAGCTGAAAGACAGTTTGGGTTTAGTTTTATAAACTGAACAACAACGTATTCACAAATTTCTTCTTCAAGTTATTCAAACCTCCCAAAACAATAAAAAAAACTCAATAACAGGAATAGTTTTTGCTTAATTTGACAGTGTTCCTCAAAGGTCAAAACTGACGCATGAGTATATAACTATACATGAGTAGAGAACAGACAATGCTATAAAATTGCAGCATAAAGGGACCTGATGGATCTTGCTTGGTTCATTGAGTAAGTTTTGTCATATTGATCGTCTGGGGCATCTGGAAGTGGTCCACGTGCCTTCCCCTTGGAATTTGTATAGTGCAAGATACCAACCCCAGTAACTCTTTGCCAACGTGATTCATTCACAAACCTGGCACTTGCTACCATGTAATAATCTGTACTTGCATTCTGATCCATGGTTACCAGAAAAGAATAAGATTGTCCAACATGAATATCTAAGCTAGTGTAGTTCTGTTGCACTGTGTAAGACCCCTCAGTTTCTGCTAGAAGTAAGTTATGGCCCTGGATCCTGAAATTCAGACTAGTTGATACTCCAACATTATGTACACGAAGCCGGTAAGTTTTTCCTGTTGAACATTATGAGAAAGCCATTGAAAACATTTAATAGGTAAACCAATATCAAGAATATGATAACACCAAGCCAAAACTATCCAAAATCATTGTCTTGTGCATTAGTAGTGATGTTTAACTACAAGTAGCATCCCAAGTAACACATTATAATGAACTTCTGAAAACCAAAAAAAGTTTTCCATTCTAGTCTGCACCTTGTGCTCAACAGACATAACATTAAAGTCCAAGAAGACACTATTTGAAGATTTCACTTGCTTCCATATCTCTTTTTGTCTATTGTTTTTCTCACAATTCAGACATGGTTGTTCTCCATGTACCTAAATTATCTAATCTAAACTTAATTCATAAAAGTAAAACAGCAAGCATAGATTAGTCAAAGAATCTATGTTTCCAGCATTCCAAGCCTAAAGAAACCCAAACATTGAAGAAATAGCATAACAAGTCATTTAAGTTTCCCACTTTGTACCATATGAAATAAATTTCCTGCAAGAAAATACCAGGATGGACTTCAATTGTTTCATAATCAATGCCATCAGGAACAAGTGTATCGTTATATCTATAAGGGCCTTTCCCGTTGATGAGAACACCATCCGGCATGCCAAGATCTTTTCCAGCATCAAGGTCCTTCCTCAAATCCTGCATTCCAAAGTAAAATCATTAACAAACATTTTTGGACCATGTCATTTATTGTATAAAAATAGCAACAATTAGCACTTAGCAGAAACAGGACTTTCCATGAATTCAAATTTCAACCAACACTAACCGTATGATTGCGCGCATACCAATCTCCAATAAGAATAACAATGTCCCCATGTGGGGTATCAAAAGGAATAGGAATAATGGGGCGGTTGTTTATGATGAAACTCCCAAATCCACCAGCTGCTCTCTGAAGATGAAGGGAAGGAAAGTAGAAAAAGCTTCCAATTTGATCTTTGACCTGAAACTGGTAAGTCCAATTCCACTTAGGAGGAATGGGACAATTTGTGCCAAGAACACCATCCTGCCACGAACTCCTCCTCTGCTGAATCCCAGACCTGTCTCAACCACACAAGAAAATTCCACAAATTTAGCTCAATGATAATGTGAGCAAATGAATCAAAGTTTTTAACTTTAGAAACCAAGGAAACATCATACCAATGAATGAGGAGGCTCTCGTCCAATTTGTTCCGAACATTGACAACAACGTTGTTGTTGGTGGTTACATTAATAGTAGGACCTGGAAACTTGTTGTTGATAGCAATGACCTGCAAAAAAGAATGCAAACATGAGGGCCATTACCCCAAAACCCTGTACCTCTTTCTTTCTACCTAACTCTCACTAAGTCAAATAGCTCATAATGGCATCCACATAACCCTTCACAAGTTCCCAGTATCGCATTACTATCCCATAATGCAGATCTGCAAGTAAAGCTTGAGACTTTACAAAATTCAAAGTGAATCCATGGAAAAGTGAACACACCCACATCCAAAAACGGAAGGAGAGAGAGAAAGATGTAAGAAAGGAAGGAACCTGCTGAGGAACTCCAAGAGGGGAGGCAGTGATGTAAGAGACCTCAAAGTTGTAGAAAACGAATGGATCGTCGGCTGAAGAGAAGGTGAGAAGCAAGGAAATGTTGATGAGAAAGAAGAAGAGAGCTCTAGATGAAACCATTGTGTGGAACTTTTTGGTTATGCTCAAAAGATTTAGAGCCTAGTTTTGAGTAGCTTTTCCCTTTTCTCTGATTTTACATTATCATCAATTTTCTACCAGGAAAGAAAAGGAATGAGAAAGAAGCGGGTGTGGGAGTAGAATTGGTACAAGGAGAGAGAGAGAGAGAGAGAAAAGGAGGACTCTATTCCACTACTTTTAGGTGTGCTGTGAAAAAAAGCTCTATCCTTCACTAGACACTGGAAGAAGCTCGGTGAAAGCATTCAAGGATTGACAGCCAGTAGCCAGTTCACACCTTACTATTTGTTTGTTCGCTATTTGACTCTTGTCCCTCCTAATTAAGTTATCATAGAATTTCCTCCACATATGCCTTCACCTTAAATTGCTGCTGCAATTCAGCAATTGCATAGATAGTGTAATGTTTTTTCAAATTTAATTTTTGGACATAAAAATATATGTTTTGTTACTAGTTTAATTAATTGAAACTCAACCATCACATATCATTTATATCTATAATTTTGAAGTTATAATAAAACAGTTTTCTATTAATAAGAATTTATATAAATTAATAAATGTATTTGAATTATTCAGTTCAGAAAGCCACAATAAAATTGTCTAAAAACATTTTTCAAAGATTTGAGGGATAGCCGTTGTTGTCACTGTAGCATTCCATAAAGAATCGAACATATGCATTGGCGATTTGTTTTATTCTATTAATAATTAATTAAAAATGGTGTTTGATGGTTGGGCCCTTTTGCTAGTGGCAACGGCGTAATTTACGTTACAACGGTCGGATCTCTGCAAAAAGCGCCACATGCTTGCCAGCGGGGAGCCATTCTACAAGTGGGCCCCACTGATTGAGGCCGTGTGGGCTCCGCTGTACTGTGTAATTACCGTCTGATCCTGACCTTGCGGTTTTGACTTATCTCAACGGCCCCTGATGATGATGCATACCATGTGAGTCCAGTCATGTAAAGTGCTCAATTACACCCTCAATTCCTCTACAGCATTACATCAAGAACATTTTTTTTCGTTTTCAAAATATATACCCTATCTGCAGTTAATTAGTTAAAACAGAAAACGGTTTTCGAGCAATACATGAAGTAATATGTTTTTAGAACATGTTAACCCCATTTTTAAGTAATTAAAAATGATACATTTTAATTTAAAATTATTTATCATATCAAGAATATAAAATTGTATTTCAATCAAAAGTTATTGTTATTAAATATTTTTTAAAATGTATATTTTTCTTCAACTGAAAACTCACAGTAAATTTGTGAGATTAGAATAATAATTAGGTAAAGTTTTACTTAAACGATGAGTTTAGGGTTCAAAATTTTAATATTGTAAATAAATTAGTTTGAAATTAAAATCTTCTTTGAATGGGACCAATTTTTTTTAGTGGCAAAAGAATGAGTGAGCGAGCTGGCGTAATGAAACTGTCGTTGTGTTGTGCATTTCTTTTTTATCTTATAATGAAGGTGAAATATATATATATATATATATATATATATATATATATATATATATGTCAGAAATTAGAAAATGTTTCGTGATTAAATAGGTTTAGAAAAGGAAATAAATAATTGTGAGCCAAAGTAAAAGAAACCATTCAACCTTTTCTGTAACTTGGACCCTCATGCAACTAACACCATGATGATCCTGACATGGTCTTATCTTTTTTCTTGCAACATCTGACAGAGTTAAACATTCTTGACATACGTAAAAATACGAAGTAGTTCAAAATCTTCAATTCCTTGTCCAAAACAAACATGTATACCTGTTTTGAAGAACGAATAACCCAAGCCCATGTGCCTTAAATCAGCTATTTGATATAATTTTACTAATTTCAGTGATAAAGTTGACATGTCAACTAACTCTGTCACTTTTCTACTATTATAAGGAATAATTACCAAAATATTTTGAGAAGAAAGCTGAGAGATTAAAGAATTCAGGAAAATGGGGCCTGAATTCGCAAATTGTGGTTTGTAAAACTGACAAAAAGAGTTTGTACCTCTTTAATTAAAACCAGCTGGAAGCTTGCACAATTACTCATAAGATACACGGTGTGGGATAATTTAAACTTATATACAAAGAATATTAGAAACAAGTTTTGCCAACCATTGTCTAGTCATTAGTAAAATTGAATGGATAATAAACTTATCGTATACATTGTATTAAAATACTTTAATATTTAAATAATAAATATTAAATGATTTTTATGTTTTTAATAAATAATTATTATAATCATGAGCACGCAATAAAAAATCTTTTTAAATGGCAGCCATCGTGGGAACATAAGTACTGCTGGAGTGGTAGATGGCATGTGGGCTGTGAGCATAATTTTGATTGTTACTTTTTCCAAGCCTTGTAAGTAATGCGTCTAACAGTTCTATAGAAAAGCTAATGTGTCCTTCATGATGTGTGGATAACCTGTGTTTCAGAATTTACTTGCTTTCACTTGTTCCTACCTCTCCCAAATAATAAATAAATTATTTTATTAATAGTAATTTTTATTAAAAATACAAAAAATACGAATTTTTATTACTTAAAATCAATCATGTAATGAATGCTAACATTTTATATATATAAATAAAATTTGGTAAGTTTTAATTCAAGTATCAATATTGTGGTTGCGTTCAAGTTTTAAACTAGATATATATTTAAATATTGCGAGGAATACTAGCAACTGAAGTCACCTCACACGCTCTTATAAATGGAATGCAATTAAAAGCCCAGTTGACATGCGACACCAGACTATAAAGGGAGGTAGTTGGGTATTATAACGCTATTGTAGCCTGGCAAGGATTGTGAGCCGAACATCCAAGGATGCTGAATCAAACATCAAGTGTTCATTAAATACTAAGCGTTCTTTTTTGTGCCACTTCTTGCCAAAATCATTTTACATTCTTGTTTTTCTTAAATTTTCAAATTTTTTTTATGCACACAAAAATCTCAGGTATCATTTCAAAAATTGTCTAACAAAATGTGAAAAAGTTTATGAATATGATTGGCCTAGTAAAAAAGTTATAATTTTTTACAATTCATTTATGCTAGTTAAAATTGAGGTCATAAACAGGAGTCTACGAGCATAGTTTAAAATCGTTTTAGGAGATGGTAAAAAAATGCTATCGTTCAACGTGTTTATATTTTGTGTAGTACTTTTTTAGTTATTAGTTTTGCTTTGATTTATTAATTTTATTTGCAAGAACTTTAAAAAATAATTTTGATTTTATTCATAAGTTAAGATTTAAAAATTTCAATCCCTAGTATATCATTGGCTAGTTTGTAATTGGCTTATGGTGTCATTATTTTTTATGCTGCAAAACAAGTCAACGTTTAAAAGATAAAAAAATGAGAGATTAATTATTCTACTATAGACACAATAAAAAGTATGTATATTATGCCACTAGGTGCACCTTATATAATAAATAGAATCAACTAATAACTAAAGTTTAACAAATTCAAAGTAACCATCTAACTAATTCGAACTTTTTAATTAATCTTAACTTCTTCTAATTACTCCCTCGAAAATTGGAAGATGTATGTTAGCATTTTACAATACTAAATGGGCAGCACAAACCGTAATACAGTGAATACATCAAAACGACATAGTGCCTGCATCACGATGTCAAACAATTCCAAATTCTATGAAAAATTATCAATGGTTTTTCTACTCCGAAATGATATTGAAAAAAAATAAAATGAGACATAAGTTTGAAAAGTACATTAACAAATAAAAAAATCGAAGAAAAGAGCACAAGTAAAAAAAAATATTGAAATATACATAGATGAGTGTTTTTTAATTGAATTTTTTACGCCCAAATAAAGGTCTTGCCTAAATTATATCTATTGATTTAGATTGGTTCAATGCAAGGAAAAACATACGAATAATAAGAAAAGTTATAAGCTATAAAAAAAAATAAGAAAAAAAATAGAAAAATGAACAAGGAAGAAGATAGACTCTTAGGTGCACAAAAGATAGAGTTGACACAAGATAAAAAAAATGACACCTTATAACCTTGCACTCTTGATTTGCCTATCTCTTTAGTTTCGTATTTTTCAAAATACACCTCGTATTAATTCGTTAATTTCTCTCTTTATTTTTATCTTTCTAATAAATTTTCTTCCTCTACTATTTTGTCTAATTTTTGAAGTTTTTTACTTTTAATATGAGTTTAGAGTTGTTTGACTCTTAGCACACTTGCATATTGAAAAAAGTTGAAAGTCCTAGATTATTTTGGCTTCAAAGGTGCGTGGTTTGATGATCTCATGTTTAAACTTGTGAATGCCTTTTCACTTCTTCCTTTTTTTTGGAGGTTTAATAGGTTATTGCTTCTTTAGAGGCATGCTCCTCTCGAGTTGATGTGCTGGATAAAAAAGATTTCTTTTATTTTTACATCTAACATTGATGAAGTGAAGGTTGAGCAAGAATTTATCCTCCCAAAAAATGCTCATCATTTTGTTCAATAAATAATATGATCATATATATATATATATACTGTATAATACCTATTAAAATACACATATTGATTTTGATGAGTGAAAACATGAAATTAATTAAATGCATAATATGATCATAAATTATCAAAAGAAGTAGTTATATATATATATTGTTAAGTTTTACAAATTTAATTATATATTTTTTAAAGATAAAAGTATGAAGATTTATGATTTATATATACTTGTCAATTTATTTTAGTGTAAGTGTTCAATAATAAAGACGTTATCGTCAAAAGTAGGATGTCTTTGCTTTGCCTCTAATGTCAATTTTTTTTTAAAGAATGACTATTATGACGATTTGTGTTTCTATGAATATAAAATTTTGACTTGTTATTCTTTCATAAGCTCTATTGCATGTCTTATGGTTTATCTTATTTCTTGTTTTCCCTTTTTTTTATATGTGTTAAGCTCTGGCTGGTCATTCATTTTATTACATTTCTTATCAAACAAATATTACCTTAAAAAAATCATACCATTAAACATAAGGTATAAATGAATGTAATAGAAGTATTAAAAGAAGAAAAAAAAAAGTGACTCACGTTACTTATCACGGTAAGATACAATGTATATACATACACATATAAGAAGAAACATGATTAACTAAAATAAAATTTTAAAAAAATTTGATATCTATGAAAAACAAATATATCATATCTGACTTGTTATGATAAATTATATTATACTGTATAAATTTATCCTACTTCTCTTGATATACTAAACTTATGGATAATTTAACCAAGTTTTAAC